TAAAACTAGTGTATCACCACGAAAATCCTGGATTTTATGCAGTAAAACCTGCCAAGATTCGCCCAGTAGCATGTTCCAAATGTTTCATTCGTGTTCCAAGTATAACCCAATGAGCTCTATTGAATTGTATATTCAGATTTTCCGTAGCTCAAACTGTGTCGGAAAAAATTCAAAAATATTCGTGCATCAAACCAAGAATTCAGGATTCTCTATAGTATAACCTGCCAAGATTCGTCCAGGAGCATATTCCAAATGTTCCATTAGTGTTCCAAGCGCAACGCGATGAGCTCTATCGAATGATATAATCAGATTTTCGGTAGCTGGAACCGTGTCTCAGAAAATTTAAAAATATTACTGGATGAATGCAAGAATTTGATGTTCTCTATGGTAAAATCTGCCAAGGTTCGTTAACGCGCGTTTTTCAAATGTTCCATTGGTGTTACAAGTGCAACTCGAAGAGTTTTATGGAATGGTGTGTTGCGATACTCTCTATGTCAAAATGCGTCTGAGAAAATGCGAAAATGCTGGTGTGTCAGCAGAGGGAATTTTTCGTTCTGGATAGTGAAAACCGCCAACACCCTTCCAGGAATAGGTTCCACATGTTTCAATCAGATGCGGAGTACTACTCCATGAGCTCTGTTCAAAGGTGTAATCATATACTCGATAGCTGAAACTAGGCTGAGAAAATCTAAACATACTAGTGTGTTTGCGAAGACATCGATGATTGTGGACAGTAAAAGGAGCCAAGATTCTTCCAGGATGTTGTTCCAGTTGTCCGACTTATGTGCCAAGTGCAATTCGATGAGTTCTATCTTACAATGGATGCGAAATTTCTGTATGTCGAATTGCGCTGCCGAGAACCCACAATTTCTAGCTTGTGAGCGCTGGAATCGATGATTGTAGACAGTAAAAGCAGCCAAGATTCTTCCAGAATGATGTTCCAGTTGTTCCACTTATGTTCTATGTGCAACTCGATGAGTTATATGCAATGGCGCATTTAGTTTTTGTGTAGCTGAAATTGGATTCCTGAAAATCCAAAAATACTAGCGTCTCAGGAGAGGAATCTTTGATTCTGGGTAGTAGAACTTGTGAGGAGTCTTCCTGGAAGACATTCCAGATGATCAACTTTTTGTCCAAGCAAAACTTTTTGATCTCTGTAGAACAGTCTTATCGGATTCTCGAGAACTCAAACTACACCGAGAAACTCGTCAAAAACGGATATATCGGCATAGAAGGGTTGCTATGTGTGGTTATATATGTAAGTGGGTTTCGAGTATGAACCAAGAGATGTGCTACATCCATAGCCATATTCAAATGCTCACCGACATCCACAGCCACTCCCGCAAATTAATAAACAAATTATTTAGCTGTGCAAAGGATCCGCTCCATAATATCTATTTCGTCTTGAAATATTATTTGTTGTATGTGTTTGTTGTTTTACCTTTCGGATGAAAAGCATTATGGCAAATTTTATTTCATTACTA